CAGGAGGATTGCATGAGGCCAGAAGTTCAGCACCAGCCATTTTGCCCAGGCTGGTCTTGAGCTCCTGAGCTCAAGGGATGTTCCTGCCTTGGCCTCCTAAAGTGCTGGGATTACAGGCATGAGCCGCATCAGGTCTGGCCTGAACTATTATTTAAAATAAAAAAAATTATTTAAAATAAAAAAAAAGTACTATTACTATATAATAGTAAATATAGGTTGAATATCCCTAACCTGAAAATCTGAAATTCTCCAAAATCTGAAACTTATTCAGTGCTGACGTGATGCTCAAAGGAAATACTCATTGGAACATTTCAGATTTTGGATTTTAGGATTAGGGCTGCTGAACCAATAAGTATATTGCATATATCCCCAAATCTGAAAAAATCTCAATTCTGGAACACTTGTATACCCAAGCATTTCACATAGGGACACTCAACATGTATTTGCTTTTAAAAAAAGAAAAACAAATCACTCTGGAGACAATATAGAACACAGGGGAAGCAGGAGTAGATATAGGGAGATCCCTTAAGAGGCCACTGCAGTAGACCAGATAAGAGGTGATGGTAGCTTGAGCAGGAGGGGACATGGAGCTAAAAGTGGGCAGATACAAGTGATATTTAGGAGGAAAAATTGCAAGAAACTTCATAATGTATTAAATACAGGGTTGTTGAGAGAAAAAAAAGGTGTTTTCTTAGGTTTCTGCCCTGGGCAACTGGATGAATGGAAATCCAGTTTGGTAGTTGGGGTGGAAAGGGGTAGGGCAGGGGGAGATGCTCATGATTTTTGTTTGGAATACTAAAGTACTGAATATGTTAAATGCAAGGTGGGATTTCTGCATTTTGTTTTGTTTTGTTTTGTTTTGTTTGAGACGGAGTCTCGCTCTGTCGCCAGGCTGGAGTGTGGTGGCGCAATCTCGGCTCACTGCAACCTCTGCCTCCCAGGTGATCTCTTGACCTCGTGTTTCCCAGATTTCTGCATTTTTAAGAAGTTTTCAGGTGACTCTGATGTATACCATTGTTTAAGAACTCTTGATGTTGGCCAGTTGCAGTGGCTCACGCCTGTAATCCCAGCATTTTCGGAGGCCAAGGAAGGTGGATCACCTGAGGTCAGGAGTTTGAGACCAGCCTGGACAACATGGTGAAATCCCATCTCTACTACAAATAAAACCCAGGAGGCAGAGGTTGCAGTGAGCCGAGATCGCGCCACTGCACTCCAGCCTGGTGACAGAGCGAGACTCCATCTCGAAAAAAAAAGAGAGAGAGAGAGAGAGAAAAAGAACTGTTGATATAAAGAAAAAGAAATAGAGAATTATTGATGGAGGAGTATCCAACTGTTAGATCAGACAGTGGGAATGACACAGAAGACAATGGAAGAAAGTGGTTGGTTTTTGTTTCAGTTTTGAGACAGGGTCTGGCTCTGTTGCCCAGGCTGGAGTGCACCGGTGCAATTACAGCTCACTGCAACGTCCACCTCCTGGGCTCAAGCCATCCTCCCACTTCAGCCTCCTGAGTAGCTGGGACCGCAGGTGCACACCAGCACACCTGGCTAATTTTTTAAAATATTTTTTGTAGAGATGGGTTTTTGTCATGTTGCCCAGGCTGGTCTCAAACTCCTGAGTTCAAGGGATCTGCCCGCCTTGGCCTCCCAAAGTGCTGGGATTACAGATATGAGCTGCCATGCCCAGCCTGTTTAGCTGTTTCTAGGGAAGTGACGGGTTGGAACAGAGGCTACAAGCATTCCTGTCCATCCTGCCTTGGGCCAGCTCAGCTCTTTTTTATGTATATTTTGTGCTAATTTGTTTGCCATAAGACTTCTTTGCAGCAGGGCCAGTGCAACTCTTAACTTGACTTTGTCTCCTTTTATCACTAGCCTTTTGGCCTCAGCAGTGCCACCAATTCCTTTCCTTTTATAGAATTGGGCCCTGGACCCACTGACCCCAATGCAGTGTATCAGATTAGTTTCAACATCTTGTCTGGATTTCTTTTACTTTTTCCTGAGGCAAGGAGATCAAAACCAAACAGCTGTAGTCTTGACAACCTATTTTAGTAATCACCTAGGGATACTACATTTTCCTCTAGAAATCTAATCTATAATTTTTTTTTCTTTCTTTTCTTTTCATTTTGTTGTTGTTGTTGTTTTCTTTTTGTTTTGTTTTGTTTTGGTTGAGACAGGGTCTTGCTCTCTCGGCCAGGCTGGAGTGCAGTGGTGTAATTTGAGTTCACTGCAACCTCTGCCTCCTGGGTTCAAGCAATTCTCGTGCCTCAGCCTCCCGGGTAGCTGGGACTATAGGCACACGCCACCACACCTGGCTAATTTTCGTAGAGATTTTGCAGTCTCACTAATGCACCTTAATATAACAGTTTCTCTTGTGAGGTATCACCCTGAGTTCTTTGTCTCACTTCCAAAATGATTAAGGAGCATGGTCATAAGGGTGAAGTTTGAGCGAAAATGTAATAAGCAAGAGAAAGCTCTCTGCAGAGAGGGGAGTCCGAGTGGATTGCGTGGTTACAACGGAATGCAAAATGTTTTTATAAGAAACTGCAGCCAGGCGCGGTGGCTCACGCCTGTAATCCCAGCACTTTGGGAGGCCGAGGCAGGCAGATCATGAGGTCAGGAGTTTGAGACCAGCCTGGCCAACATGGTGAAACCCCATCTCTACTAAAGATACAAAAAATTAGCCAGGCATGGTGGCGGCACCTGTAATCCCAGCTACTGGGGAGACTGCGGCAGGAGAATCACTTGAACCCAGGAGGTGGAGGTTGCAGTGAGCTGACGTGCCACTGCACTCCAACTTGGGCAACAGGGCGAGACTCCGTCTCAAAAAAAAAAAAAAAGAAAGAAGAAAAAAAAAAGAAACTGCTCTCCTCCTTGTAACTGATTGAGTAATTTTTCTTATCAGTAAAGCTGTCTGTGCAACTCCCTTTTTCCAGCTGTGGGATTGTTTCTAAGCACAAAGCACAGCTTCTCTTGTTTGTATAACTGTGGGTTTTTTTAGGTAAGCCCCACTCCTCCCTGTACAAGTTCCCACGGAGCCCACTGTGTATATGCCTGAAAAGGTGAGGAAACTTTTTCCTGGGAGCTCACTAATTATACAAAGAACAAAAAGGCTTCTTTGCTTTGCTGGCTCCTTATCTGTCCAGACTTAACTGTGCAGCTGCAGCAGCTGTGATTTTTCAGGCAAGCACTTCTCGGGGCCCAGCCTTAACTGTTTATCTAACGGATTTTCCTTTTCTTTCCCCTCAGAGATGGGGTTTCACCATATTGCCCAGGCTGGTCTCGAATTCCTGAGCTCAGGCAATCTGCCCATCTTGGCCTCCCAAAATGCTAGGATAATAGGCGTGAGTCACCGCATCCCGCCATTTTTATTTCTGAAAATTGAGTTCTCTAATATACTTCAATAAAAAATCTATGTTTCATTTATTAGAAATTTGTTAACCTCATATCAGGCACTGTGCTAGGCACTTGTTATTTCAAATTAAATAAGACATGGCTATGTCAAGGAGCCAGGAAAAACTGATACCTGTATACTTACATACATCCCTGTCTAGCTTTTTTCTCTTGATACATAGAAGACAAAAAATTGATAGAAGATAAAAACTGATTAAATTTTAAAATATCTAGACCTGAATTCAACTTCCTTGTGTGAAAAAGAAGGCCAAAGTCATCTCTTTGGTTGAGACTGTAATTAAAGGGATCTTTTAATGTATATATTATGCAGCCCGGATGTTCCCTTTCTTTTTCATGATGTCTCTGTAATTAAGATGCAGATTTCCCCCCAAAGGAGAGTGTTTTTTCTGTGGTCTTAACTCAGATTCATAGATCTCAGCAAATCTATGGATTCGTGGCTTTGTGGGTCCTTAAACCTTCCACAATTATATGCAAAATTGTGGAATTTGGTATACATGAGTGCTTTTCATATTTATTTTTAATCCAGAATGGATCAAAAAGAACAATCATGAAGGATGTAGGTGCCAGACACAGGGCAGAGGTAGCTAGAAAAGTAGATCTTAGGGAAGTTAGGGCCCCTAGCCTCACTAATCTACAAACATGGCACGGCCAGCTTGCCTTGCAAGGCCTCTGTTGAAGGACCCCATGAATTCTTAAAATAGAGTTCTTAATTTTTATCAAATTCTCATGATTCTGTTACCCCAAAATATTAAGAATTATTGTACTATTAAAAAATTTATTAGAGACTAGTCCAAGCAACATAGTGATACGTCATCACTACTAAAAATTAAAAAAAAAAATTAGGGGTGTGGGGCTGGACACAGTGGCTCACACCTGTAATCCGAGCACTTTGGGAGGCCAAGGCGGGTGGATCACCTGAGGTCAGGAGTTCAAGACCAGCCTGGCCAACATGGTGAACCCCTGTCTCTACTAGAAATACAAAAATTAGCTGGGCGTGGTGGCACATGCCTGTAATCCCAGCTACTCAGGAGGCTGAGGCAGAATTGCTTGATCCTGGGAGGTGGAGGTTGCAGTGAGCCAAGATCATCCCACTGTACTCCGGCCTTGGCAACAGAGTGAGACTCCATCTAAAAAAAAAACAAACAATTGTTAGAGACCAGCCCAGGCAACACAAGTGTTTCTCCTAAAAACAAAAATTAAAAATTTGGGGTATGGGGCATGGTGGCACACACCTGTAGTCGCAGCTACTCAGGAGGCTGAGGTGAGAGGATCCCATGAGCATAGAAGTTTAAGGCTGTAGTGGGCTATGATTGAGCCACCGCACTCCAGCCTGTTTGATAGAGCAAGACCCCGTCTCAAAAAACGAAAACAACAAAAACTTACTAGGTTTTGGTTTATGACTATTTAACATCATTTACTTTTTAGATGTTCTCACTGGAGGAAAGGGAAATTGAAGGCATAATATGTACTTCTCTAATTTATCAATACAATTTTTATATTAATACAATATTTGAAACTGACATTTAAACATTAGAATTTATTTTTACTTTTAACAATGTTGTGAGCATGCTACATTTTTTGTTTGTCTTTAGTACCAGGACCCTCTGGTGATAATGGCATCAGTGTTACTATGATCTTAGTGGCCTGGATGGTTATTGCATTGATCTTGTTCTTACTGAGACCTCCGAATCTAAGAGGATCCAACCTACCTGGAAAGCCAACCAGTCCTCATAATGTAAGTATTGCACATTTTAAATGCTTTTTGGGTAAGGGAATGTATGTGACCTGGGGCAGGGAAGGACTTGGTTTTGACTAAAATACCTAAATTAGTTAAATTACATTTAACTCATAGAGTATTCTACCTATGTAGTTCTATTAAATCTTGCAATTCCAAGATTTAATTGATGGCTTAATCTTTGTGGAGTTAAATGCAGAAAGAAGCACAGACCAGAAGCCAAAAATTAATTTGAAAATGAATTCCAATTTTTTTGTTGTTGTTGTTCAGACAGGGTCTTGCTCAGCTGCCCAGGCTGGAGTGCATTGGTGCGATCTTAGCTCACTGTAGCCTCTACCTCCCAGGCTCAGGTGATCCTCCCACCTCAACCTTCTGAGTAGCTGGGACCCCAGTCATGTACTAGCACACCTGGCTAGTTTTTTGTATTTTTTTTGTAGAGATGGGGTTTTGCCAGGTTGCCCAGGCTTGAATTCCAATCTTTACTCGCATGAGAAGCATTATGAAATAATCCATTTCATAATCCACAGCAATATTGCTTAAATCTCAATCCTCCACTACTCAGTTCTGTCCACCTCACAGTTGATCCCTTGCCTCTCATGCTTCTAGCCCCTAAACTCTTAGTAGCTTCAGCTCAAATGTTTGACCCCCTTCTGTCCTAGCTATTCAGTAGAGACACTGAGCCTGTCTGATTTTATTTTCCTCATTTTCCCATCCTATGTCTCTCAAACCCATTTTCCATTTCTGTACCGCAACAAATCAACTGAGCTGGCAAAAGGAGAGGTCAGAATCATTCATGTTGATAAATCTTGATAGTCATGATTACAACCATTTTTAGAACCTTCTAAATTAAAACTGTGATAAAGTGACCCAACAGGGAGTTTTCAGTACTATCTTTGATAGAAACTCCGTTGGCCAGGCACGGTGGCTCACGCCTGCAATCCCAGCACTTTGGGAGGCCAAGGCGGGCAGATCGCCTGAGCTCAGGTGTTCAAGACCACCCTGGGCAACATGGTAAAACCCCATCTCTACTAAAATACAAAAAATTAACCGGACATGGTACCCTGGGCAACATGGTGAAACCCCGTCTCTACTAAAATACAAAAAATTAGCCGGACACGGTGGTGTGCGCCTGTAGTCCCAGCTACTCAGGAAGCTGAGGCTTGAGAATCGTTTGAGCTCAGGAGGCAGAGGTTGCAGTGAGCCAAGATCACACCACCACACTCCAGCTTGGGCTACAGAGTGAGACTGTGTCTCAAAAAAAAAGAACCTCTGTTAAAGGATTCCTTTTAATCCTTTTCAGAACCAGTATTTATGTGTGTGTTTTTTTTAACATTGAATTTGAATATTATCTCTTTAAAAATATTTCCATGAGGCTGGGCACGGTGGCTCACGCCTGTAAGCCCAGCACTTTGGGAGGCCGAGATGGGCAGATCACCTGAGTTTAGGAGTTCGAGACTATCCTGGCCAACATGGTGAAACCCTGTTTCTACTAAAAATACGAAAATTAGCTGGGCATGGTGGTGGGCGCCTGTAATCCCAGCTACTTGAGAGGCTAAGGCAAGACAGTTGCTTGAACCCAGGAGGTGGAGGTTGCACTGAGCCAAGATCGCGCCATTGCACTCCAGCCTGGGCGACAAGAGTGAAACTTCGTCTCCAAAAAACAAAAACAAAAACAAATTTCCATGAATATGCCAATTACCTCAATTTAGCCATTCTACAAATGTATGCATATTTCAAAACATGTTGTATATGACAAATATATACAATTTTTATTTGTCAATTTAAATAAATAAAATGTTAAAATTTATAATTAAAAAAACTATAAGATGATAGAGCATCAAAAAAAAAAAAAAAAGGGAAAATTTCCATGATAGATTTGCTCGTTTTTTGTTTGTTTGTTTGTTTTTGAGATGGAGTCTCACTCTGTCATCCAGGCTGGAGTGCAGTGGTGCAATCTCGGCTCACTGCAGCCTCTGCCTCCCGGGTTCAAGCAATTCTCCTGCCTCCCCTTCCCGAGTAGCTGGGATTACAGGTGCGCATCACATCTGGCTAATTTTTGGATTTTTAGTAGAGATGGGGTTTCACCATGTTGGCCAGGCTGATCTCAAATTCCTGACCTCAGGTGATCTGCCTGCCTCGGCCTCCAAAGTACTGGCATTACAGGTGTGTGTCACCACAACTGGCTAATTTTTGTATTTTTAGTAAAGATGGGGTTTTGCCATGTTGGCCAGGCTGGTCTCGAACTCCTGACCTCAGGTACTCTGCCTGCATTTGCCTCCCAAAGTGCTGGGATTACAGGCATGAGCCACCGTGCCTGACCAGATTCACTTGTTGAATACCAAATTATCCCACTAATTCTCTTTTCCAACCTTTACCATGTGGAATTCCTGAAATAATTGTTTTTCTCCAATGTTGTGGTGTTAATATCAGAAGTTCAGTTAGACTCATTTTTTTATATAAGAGAAAGCAAATATGCTGTGTTAATTGGTCAGTGTTTTGTTTTGTTTTTAAAGGAGTAGAACATATGTAGTATAGAAAGAAAAAAAAATCGAAAAGAAAAACATACACAAAAAAGATACATAGCATGCTAACTTTAAGAAAGAAGGCATTATAGGCCGGAGGCAGTGGCTCATGCCTGTAATCCCAGCTACTCAGGAGGCTGCGGCAGGAGAATTGCTTGAACCCAGAAGGCAGAGGTTGCAGTAAGGCGAGATCGCGCCATTGCACTCCAGCCTGGGCAACAAGAGCGAGACTCCGTCTCAAAAACAAAAAAAGAAAAAGAAAGAAAGAAAGAAAGAAAGAAAGAAGGCATTATTAGCACTATATAAAAAGCTTTCCATTTATTTTTGTTTTTTCTTGGAGAAGAGAGTATTTATAAAACAGCTTGCATATTGTCTTGATAAAGTGTTTATTCCTTAGCTGTCTTTCTTACTTTCTTTGTATAGCTTTGTTACTTTCATATCAAAGAGTAACTTCCTCAATGTTTGGAGCTAAAGAAATAGAATTCTCAATAATCTGACTTAGAAACCATTAAAATGGGCTGGGTGTGGTGGCTCGTACCTGTAATCCCAGCACTTTGGGAGGCCGAGGCGGGTGGATCATTTGAGGTCAGGAGCTGGAGACCAGCTTGACCAACATGGTGAAACCCCGTCTCTACTAAAAATACAAAAAAATTTAACCAGGCGTGGTGGCACAGGCTTGTAATCCCAGCACTCGGGAAGCTGAGGCAGGCGAATCACTTGAACCCGGGAGGTGGAGGCTGCAGTGAGCCGAGATCGCACCACCGTACTCCAGCCTGGGCGATAGAGTGAGACTGTCTCAAGGAAAAAAAAAAAGAAACTATTAAAATGACAGAAATGCAAGATTATACTCTCCTGGACCTTAATTCATTGTAGACCAGTGTTTCTAGTAATAGTAGTTCCACTATCTTAGGAATAAGTAAGAAAATGTGTTGAGACTAATTCCAAGTAGAAATACTGATCACCCCCAACTCGGGCCTCCTACATCATTTCAGGGTAAATAAATAAAATCTTGAGAATCTTAAAAACTCTGATCTTTCCTTTATAGTTCACTTGCTTTCTATTGCAAGTTAGCAAAAGTCAATCCAAAGCAGTTTAAAACAAGTGGCTTCATTGATTTACACATCAAAAAAATTCAGAGGTAGGGTCAGTGTTAAGAAAGTTTAACAGTGTCATCAAAGACCCAGTTTCTTTCCTCTTACTATCAACTTCATTCCAACATGGGCTCCCCTTAGGGTCATAGGATGACTGCCAGAAGCAACTGCAGTTATATGCTTCCTCGTAGACATTCAGTATTGAGAAACAAAAGTCCCTAGCTTCATTTTAAATATACAGTACTTCGCTTAGCCAATCAACCTTAGCAAGAGGGATGAAGATACTTTCATTAGTTTGAAGATCACTCCTGGGGCTGGCGACTGAGTGAGACTCTGTCTCAAAAAAGAAAAAAAAAAAAAAAATTCCGGAATTGTTTAGCAAGCCTGGAAATTTTACCATTACATTCTCCTGGTTAACTAGTCAAGATGTCAATGCATAATCCTGCAAGTATTATATCTGTGACACTTTGAAAATTACCATATTAATGCAATGCAGACTGTGTGTCAGCTAATGTGGTTGCTGGCAGGCATGATAACATCACTGTTATACAGATTCCCTCTCTCTTCCATTCTACAGGGAAAAATGAGACAAATGGTGGAAAATCACAGTGTTATTTAATCTAGTGTTCCCTCGTGTAAAAACATATGAAAAGTCCAAATAAGCATATATTTGGGATGGGATGGTGGGGGGCATTGCTGCTCAGTTCTTTCTCTATGTGTTAGATTGGTTGCACTGGGATTTAATAAGTCAATTTTTTAAAAAGTACTAAAATAAATTTTAAAAAATTTTAAATTTTTTAAAAGTCAGTTAAATAATTTATTTCTTTCTAATGCCAGGGACAAGATCCACCAGCTCCTCCTGTGGACTAACTTTGTGATACGGGAAGTGAAAATAGTTAACACCTTGCACGACCAAACGAACGAAGATGACCAGAGTACTCTTAACCCCATTAGAACTGTTTTTCCTTTTGTATCTGCAATATGGGATGGTATTGTTTTCATGAGCTTCTAGAAATTTCACTTGCAAGTTTATTTTTGCTTCCTGTGTTACTGCCATTCCTATTTACAGTATATTTGAGTGAATGATTATATTTTTAAAAAGTTACATGGGGCTTTTTTGGTTGTCCTAAACTTACAAACATTCCACTCATTCTGTTTGTAACTGTGATTATAATGTTTGTGATAATTTCTGGCCTGATTGAAGGAAATTTGAGAGGTCTGCATTTATATATTTTAAATAGATTTGATAGCTTTTTAAATTGCTTTTTTTCATGAGGTATTTATAAAGTTATTTGAGGTTGTCTGGGATTGTATGAAAGAAAATTAGAACCACGTTGTATTTACATTTACCTTGGTAGTTAATTTGTGGATGGCAGTTTTCTGTAGTTTTGGGGACTGTGGTAGCTCTTGGATTGTTTTGCAAATTACAGCTGAAATCTGTGTCATGGATTAAACTGGCTTATGTGGCTAGAATAGGAAAAGAGAAAAAAATGAAATGGTTGTTTACTAATTTTATACTCTCATTAAAAATCTCTAATGTTAAGAAAACCTTAAATAAACACGATTGATCAATATGGCAGATGATTTACAGTCCATTATATGACATTTGTAAGCCACTCAACACTAGCCTTACAAGGTTCATGAAAGGAGGAAAACATTAATTCTTTCTGCCTTTGCTGGTATAATCCACATAATAATTTAAGCTATAATTTATTTTTAAAATGAGTGCCTCTTGGGAAGTTTCTTTTCTGTTCTAACACTGCCTGTTAAAATGAAAATCTTAGGCTGGTGCGGTGGCTCACACCTGTAATCCCAGCACTTTGGGAGGCTGAGGTGGGTGGATCATTTGAGGTCAGGAGTTCGAGACCAGCTTGGCCAACATGGTGAAACCCTGTCTCTACTAAAAATACAGAAAAATTAGCCAGGCGTGGTACATGTGCCTGTAATCCCAGCTACTCAGGAGGCCAAGGCAGGAGAATTGCTTGAACCCAGGAGGTAAAGGTTGCAGTGAGCCGAGATCGCACCACTGCACTGCAGCCTGAGCGACAGAGTGAGACTCTCTCTCAAACAAAAATAAAAATAAAAATAAAATTAAAATTTTAAAGCTGTATTAGGGCCTGTTAGATTACTGATATTTGAATGCCTATTTACTTATTTACTCCATTGAGTCCTTTGTTATCCTCTGACCTATAAAAAATTTTGATAAGTAACAGGTTTACTTCAAGGGAAAAGAAGGAAAATGAGAAACAAACATCTTTTTTTCACTCCTTATCTTATTCCTGTTTGGTGATGGGATGGATTGGGGTAGGAAGGAATGTTAATATGAGAGAAATTTTGAAATGTATAAAAAAGTAAAAGGTTGTATTGTTTTGCTCAGTTTGAAATAAAGTGAATACCAATAGCACTTAAAAATGTCTGCATGGGCCGGGCGCGGTGGCTCACGCCTGTAATCCCAGCACTTTGGGAGGCCGAGGCGGGCGAATCACCTGAGGTCAGGAGTTCGAGACCAGCCTGACCAACATGGTAAAACCTCGCCTCTACTAAAAATGCAAAAATTAGCCAGGCATGGTGGTGTGTGCCTGTAATCCCAGCTACTAGGGAGGCTGAGGCAGGAAATTGCTTGAACCCGGGAGACGGAGGGTGCAATAAGCTGAGATCGTGCCACTGCACTCCAGTCAGGGCAACAGAGTGAGACTCTGTCTAAAAATAAATAAATTTTAAAAAATGTCTGCATGACCCATGTGGTTATGAAGTTTTTTTCCTAGCAAATGATTGCAGATTATTTATGGGGGCTAGAAGATATTTTGCTATCAATGTAAGGATTTTTTTCCCCTTAGGTCAGTCTATTCACTGTTTAGATCTGGTAAATTACTTGTATGCATTGAATAAATTCTCTGTATCATTGTACTGTTTAATAGTCTCTGATACAATTGTGATACTCATAAGAGATTTTTTCCCCTTTATTATGATTACATTCTAGATCATAAACATTGTAAGGGTATCTTTTCGTTATATAATCCAATATTGATTGTTTGAATTCCTCCTTGTACACATCTTGGCTTTGTGCTCAATTTCTTGAAATAATATAACCAACTCTGAATTACGTGTGTTAATAGATGGGTAACATAACACAGGTAAGTTAAATCCTGGATAAATGAGCCCCACAGAATAAAGGTTTTTGTGGCCTACTGGAAGCCTTCCTAACTCTACAGCTGGTGAAGTAGAGCAGAAAGGGCCAGAATGGCTTAAGATGGAGCCAAATCCCTATAGCATTCCATTTTCTGCTCTTGCCTCTTGAACTTAGAAGGCTTGCCCATATATATATCCTAACAATCTGTTCTCTGAGCTGCTAGAAGGCCAATCCCTGGCAAGAGATACTGATGTAGTCACTGAATCTATGGCTCACAAATAATTGAAAATTGGCTTTGGGGGCTGGGCGCAGTGACTTATACCTATAATCCCAGCACTTTGGGAGGCTGAGGCGGGTGGATCACTTGAGGTCAGGAGTTTGAGACCAGCCTGGCCAACATGGTGAAACTCCTTGTCTACAAAAAATACAAAAATTAGCCGGGTTTGGTGACACAGCCTGTAGTCTTAGCTACTCAGGAGGCTGAGGCAGGAGAATCGCTTGAGCCTGGGAGACAGAGGTTGCAGGAAGCCAAGATCACGCCACTGCACTCCAGCTTGAGTGGCAGACTGAGACCTTGTCTCAAAAAAAAAAAGAAAAAAAAAAAGACTTTAGAAGGCTTTATTGGAAGAAGTGGCTGAAACTTGGACACAGAATGTCTAGTATTACACCTAAGAATCTGGATTCTTTTTTGTTGTTGTTTTGAGATGGAATTTTGCTCTTTCGCCCAAGCTGAAGTGAAATGGTGCGATCTTGGCTCACTGCAACATCCACCCCCGGGTTCGAGCGATTCTCCTTCCTCAGCCTCCCGAGTAGCTGGGATTGTAAGTGCCCACCACCAAGCCCGGCTAATTTTTGTATCTTCAGTTAGAGACGGGGTTTCGCCATGTAGGTCAGGCTGGTCTCAAACTGACCTCAGGTGATCCACCCACTATGGCCTCCCAAAGTGCCAGGATTACAGACGTGAGCCACCGTGCCTGACTGGAAAATCTAGATTCTTATTCCTAGTTCTTCATTTCTGTCACATGCACTTAGTTGACATTACGTCTATGTGTATTAGCTTTTTCCTACATGAACCATCTATTTACTTGGTAACCAGTGTTCTTAATGAAGTATTTAGTCTTGGGTTTCTTGTAAAATTTCTCTGCATTCCTGAAACAGTGTACTATACATGAAATATTCTTGTTTACCTAGTAATTTATATTATTCTGTTTAATTCTTAAAGCTTCTACCTGTGGCCTTTTTATTGAGCACACTCTTAAGTCATTATTTGGCTTGTAAACATTCACCTGAATTGTGGCTACAATCCTTTTTAAATAATCTGCGAAAAAAGAAATATAAAGCTTACATTTTCACAGTTTTGGCTCTTAAACATTTTCCACACACGTCATTAAGAATTTATTTTGTTTTAGACCAGTCATGGTGGCTCATGCCTGTAATCCCAGCAATTTGGGAGGCTGAGGCAAGAGAACTGCTTGAGCCCAGGAGTTTGAGACTAGCCTGGGCAACATAGCAAGACCCTGTCTCTGCCAAAAAGAAAAAAGTAAAAAAGCTTTTTTTGTTTTATGCACAATAATGGTGGGAGGTTGTTTTGTTTTTTGTTTGTTTTGTTTTCCATGTGGAAAAGGTTAACATTGGAACTGTTTCTAGTAAAAGATTTTTTTCAGGCTGGGCACGGTGGTTCATGCCTGTAGTCCCATCACTTTGGGAGACCGAGGCAGCCAGATAACCTGAGGTCAGGAGTTTGAGACCAGCCTGGTCACCGTCTCTACTAAAAATACAAAAGTAGCTGGGTGTGGTGGTACATGCCTGTAATCCCACCTACTTGGGAAGCTGAGGCAGGAGAATCACTTAACCTGGGAGGCGGAGGTTGCAGTGAGCCAAGGTCATGCCATTGCACTACAGCCTGGGCAACAAGAGTGAAACTCCATCTCAAAAAAAAAAAAAAATGTTTTTCATTTTTTTCATGTTATCTATCCAAGCACTGTCCCATGGTCAGCAAGTCATATTTTACAATGTGGATTTTTTACAAAATAATTATTGAATACAGCTATTCTATGGTTACTTTTAGTGTTTTTGTGGTATGTGGTGTGGGAGTGTTTATGAAATTACCAGTATCTTAAATTTTCAAAGGAACCTTGGAAGTCTGTCACTCTAAATGAAAGTCTGTCACTCTACATGAATTATGTGCTCAAATTTGACCAGCTCAGTTTAAGACACAAAACAGTAATTTGAAGAAGGAAAAATGAAGAGTTTACAGTTTAATGGGTTAAATTTTTGTTCTTGCAATAGTAAATTTAGTCTTATATTTCTAAATGTGTGAAGATTGCTTTGTTAAAAGCAAAAGTGGTCGTGTGATATGCTAAATGTTAATTACTGTTTTTATATGTTTCAGTCATGCCAAACAAATCATGTCTGTGCCATCCAGGGTCTATTGTTAATCTTTTTCTGAGTACTTGGATTGGGATAAAGGGCTTGTACTATGCACTTTTTATTAATGAATAAATAGAAAATATTAGTAACACTCTTTGTTTTCTGTTTGGCTTTTGTGGGAAGAGAAGCAAGCATCTTTTGCTTAGTAAGTGTTAACATCCTATATTAAACAGTTTCTTTGTAAGACCTAACTAAAGACATTTCTAAGAGAGAACTTAAGTTTTAAGAAAAGTTGTGAGAAAAATATTTATAAAATATGTAGTATGGGGCCAGTATTCAGAAGTAGAGCTTCTCTCTTGGAAATTAGATTGCAGTCACATTTCTTTGGTTATTTTCTTTCTCTCTCTCTCTCTCTCTTCCTAGAATACCAGATAAAATAGACATTTGCTTTGAGGGACTAATATCCAATAGTGTTAATTATTTAAGCAGATATATCTTGCTGAAAAGGAGCTAGACATGTCACTGTACCAAAAAACACACAAAAGTGAAAATTTGCTTCTGTTCTGTGACCTAGAATGTGTCCAGACATTAAAGATCATGAATACTCATAAACATGTAAAACTAGTAACACTGCTCTGGCATGATTTTGATGTCAGTGTGTATGTAATAACTTAAGTGTTATTTAAAATAGATAAATTTGTGAAATAACTTCTTGTAGACAGTCAACTTTTTATGATTCAATCTAAAGATTGTTATGTACATGTCAACGGGTATCTGAATCCTCAGTGAAACTGTAAGTTTTCATTAAATGACTCTGCCGCAATACTAGTTTTCTTCTCAGAAAGTGGAATTCAAATAAAATAAGTTTTTTGGTCCTGGTATTTCACCTGATGATTTTCTCAGTTCTGGATCTCAATTTGTAGAGTTGTTGGGGGCTTTTCCCCCCAAAAGATGATTCATAAACACCAACTACAATTATCTTTCATGACCATATTTTTAAAAATTGGAGTTACCAGTGTGATCTTTTCCCATTAGTTGCTTGTAGGGGACTTTAGTGTGCATATCTCTTCTCAGACAAATGTATTATGTTCGTTCAATAAACATTTCAACAAATTTTTAGACTTGTTTCTTAATTTTCTGTAGGCTTTAAAATGGATTTTATTCAGGATTTGATTACAGAAACTATTTCAAACCATCAGATGCCAAATTAAGATGTCTCCTGAAGTTAGTGGGGAGATGTCTGGGAGGCAAGGATTATGTAGGGGTGAAAACAATGTATGTCGTTTTAAGGATAAAGCAACTTACTTTTTTTTTTTTTTTTTTTTGAGACATAGTATCACTCTTGTCACCCAGGCTGGAGTGCAGTGGCACAATCTCGGCTCACTGCAAGCTCCGCCTCCCGGGTTCAAACAATTCTCCTGCCTCAGCCTCCCGAGTAGCTGGGATTATAGGCACCTGCCACCGCACCCGGCTAATTTTTGTATTTTTAGTAGAGACGGGGCTTCACTATCTTGGCCAGATATCTTGGCTTGAACTCCTGACCTCGTGATCCACCTGCCTCGGCCTCCCAAAGTGCTGGGATTACAGGCGTGAGCCACTGTGCCCTGCCAGGATAAAACAACTTTCATATCAATACATGGTTTTTGTTTTTGTTTTTGTGGGGTTTTTTGGGGTTTTTTTTTTGAGACAGAGTCTTGCTCTGTCGCCAGGCTGGAGTACAGTGGCCCGATCTTGGCTCACTGCAACCTCCACCTCCAGGGTTCAAGCAATTCTCCTGCCTCAGCCTCCCGAGTAGCTGAGACTACAGGTGCGTACCACCATGCCTGGCTAATTTTTGTAGTTTTAGTAGAGATAGGGTTTCACCATGTTGGCCAGGATGGTCTTTGCTCTCTTGACCTCGTGATCCGCCCGCCCTGGCCTCCCGAAGTGCTGGGATTACAGGCATGAGCCACCATGCCCGACCATCAGTATATGTTCTATTGGGAGGTGGGAGGATTACTTGATGCCAGGAGTTCAGGACCAGCCTGAGCAACACAGACTCTGTCTCTACAAAAATAAAATAAAACTTAGCGGGACATGATGGCCTGCATCTGTAGTCCCAGCTACTTGGGAGGCTGAGGTGGGAGGGAGGCTTGAGCCCAGTAGTTCCAGGCTATTGTGTGAGCTGTGATGGCACCACTGCACTCTAGCCAGGGCAACAGAGCCAGATCCTGAGTCAAAAATGAATTTTTTACAGAGTATTATTTCCTTATACAAATCTCCACTTATTTCTAGGAAATTTAGAAATGAGAAAAGTATTATTTGCAATATCTGGAATGCCAGAGTCTAACCTCTTAAATATGTGCTCATAACCTCAGATAGTTGGTCTATGCTTGATGATTAATGGTTTTGAATTGCAGTGTTTATTAGTTTTGACCAGAATTAAACACAAATACCACACAGCAGGTTCAGCATTATAGAAAAAGCCTCTTAAATTGTTTTTAAATAAATGAATCTGTTATGTATGTAATTCAGTCAGTGTCAGAAAGAGAAGCACTTTATATACAAAAAGCATCTCAGACCCTGGGTTGAATGCAGCTTTTCATGACAACTAATTAGTATGTAAACAAACTTTGGAAGTCTAGATGTGTTTAAAGGGGCTTCCTTACAATTAATCCAGCCAGGACAATTTGTGGTTACAAAATACAGGACAGATCGAAATCTGACACCAAAGCCTATACCCCCAACAAATGGTTTAAGATTTATATCCTTGAAAATGTTGTTTGTCTTCATTTTCATCTAACAGCCCTTTTTTTTTTTTTTTTTTTTTTCCTGAGATAGAGTCTCACTTTGTCACCCAGGCTGGAATGCAGCATCACCATTATGGCTCACTGTAGCCTCGACCTCTGGCGCTCAAGCTATTCTCCTGCCTCAGCCCCATGAGCAACTGAGACTACAGGCGTACCCCACCACACCAGGCTAATTTTGCAGAGGTGGAGTTTCACCGTGTTGCCCAGGCTGGTCTCCATCCAACTCCTGAGCTCCAGTGATCCTCTTGCCTCGGCCTCCAAAAGTGCTGGCATTACAGGCATGAGCCTGTTACAGGCCAAAAGAATGAGGGTCGTGACCAACTCAGTATGCCACTGGATTCTATATGAGCAAACAGAAAACTGTTCTCATGAAAGCAGGATGTTGGAAAACTAACAACTGCATCTGCCACCAGAAGGGGTGCTGAGGGCAGTCACGCCCCAAGCGTAGTGTTCGTTGTGATTATCTACAGGAACATCTGAAGCCTATTGTACAAAGAAAGCAATTATGTGTACCTGTGATAAATCAAGCAGTTGACCAACCATTACCTCTCCCTCCCTGCTCTTTCTACCTAATAAATACAAAGGGCTGTAGAAGCTCAGAGCCCTTGCTCACTAGAAGCAGGCAGCCCCCTGACCCCTTCTTCCAAAAATTCTCTTTTTGTCTTTGTCTTCATTTCTGCATTCGTCCCCCTTTGTTCACTCTCATAACAACCGACAGCGACAAGTCACCCCCGGGACAGGGACATAAGTGAAGTTCTGCTAGAGCAGAGAAAGTGAAACTGACAAGAAGAATGAGAACGAGAAACACTGGGAAGAGTCTGCCGGCAGCTGATATAAGGTCAGTGCCCTAAAGAGGTACTGGGAATGGGAAGTTTCTGAATCAGGGTAATACGGGGGAAGAATCTGGCTACTTCTTTTCTTTTTTATATTTGGAGTTTAGTTCATACTATTCTTCTGCCATTATTCATTCCTTATTCTGCTAGACAGCAGGAGTCATGTTCAGAGTCTAAAAATTTGAAATAATCTTTTCCCCCAACAGCACCAATTAAAAATAATAAACTGAAGCAGGAGGATGAAAATTGGCCTGTGTTGTCCCCTCTAGTAGCAGAAACATCTAAACTGCCTCCTTCAGTAGCAGAAATAGAGACCCCAATACAAAGAATTTTACACTCTGCTGCTATAGCTGGAGAACCCTTAGGAACTTGCGCTTTTCCTGTTTCCATAAGGCCCGATCCAAATAATCCACAGCAGCTTATACATGAACACACCCCACTAGAATTTAAGGTGCTGAAGGAATTAAAAGCTAGTGTAGTTAATAATGGAGTACAAAGCCCATTTACTTTAGGATTGCTAGAATCTATATTTGGCGCTATGCGCCTTCCACCCTTTGATGTAAAGCATTTGGCTTGCACTTGTTTATCTGCTAGTGCATACCTGACATGGAATTCAAATTGGCAAGAACTGTGTGCAGACCAGGCTAGACAGAATCGTGCTGCTGGACACGGAGACATTACAGAGGATGCTGTCAGGTAGTAGCCCCTATTCAGACCTGGAACATCAAATGGCACTCCTAGACGCTGCTTATAAGCAGTGTGCCTTGGCTGCTAAACACGCCTGGGCCACAATTCCAGAGGAAAGGGTCCCAGTACAATCTTTTTTACATATCACGCAAGGGTCACAGGAGCCCTATGCACATTTTCTTGCAAGATTACAAGAGGCAGTGAAGCGTCAGATTCCTCATACCATGGCTACAGAAATGCTAACCTTAACTAGCTTTTGAAAATGTAAACACGGATTGTAAACGTGCACTGGCACCTGTGAGATGTACAAAAAGCTTAGGAAATTTTCTCAAAGCTTGTCAGGATGTGGGAACTGAGCTTCATCGCTCCACAATGTTGGCTGAAGCAAAGGAATTATAGATAATCATTATCCATCAGACAAAGTTTTGCAATTTTATAAAGTTTACCCTTTTACCCGCCTATTCCAGGCGGCCGGACTTACTTCACTGATGGCTCTTCCAAAGCTGAGCATCTATTTTATGGACCTAAGCATACTCAAATGATAAAAACCCCTGGTGTTTCAGCTCAACGCTCAGAATTAATGGCAGTTATTCAGGTTTTACAGCTCACTGTTTCCTCTCCTATTGTCTGTGATTTAGCCTATGTTGTTAATGTAACCAGTCACATTGAGACTGCCGCTATTAAAAGCAGAACTGTTTAACTTGTTTCCAAGACTTCAGCAAGCTGTTTGCTTTCATGCTGCTCCTTTTTCATATTTCTCATATTCGCTCTCACACACAACTTCCTGGACTACTATTTCTAGGTAATGATAGAGCAGATAAATTGATTGGTTCTGTGTTTCA